ACAACTGAACCAACCCCTGGTGGTGGTGGTGATGTGCTGTGGAGTTGGCTCCGACTCATAGCGACCCTGTTTCCATGGCTGTCAATCTTTACAGGAGCAGAAAGCTTCCTCTTTCTCCCACTGAGTGCTTGATAGATTTGCACTGCTGACACTGTGGTCAGCAGCCCAATACATAACTCACCATGTTACCAGGACGCCTGAAGCCACCCCTGCTAGCAACAAATTCTTCATCACAAATCATCTTCTCTTGCTGTATTGCAACTTTTAGATGATTGTAAAGGACTTCAGCCGTCTCTTGCTCTCCAGACTAAAAAACAATCGTATGCACCTGTGCTGACTGGCCTACAAATTGTTAGGCCCAGTTAGGAATGGACTTCGTCTGTAAAGCAGGGGCTGCCTGGCCCAGTACCAGTCTGTTTTGGTAACTGTAGTTGTGTAGTATGTTTTAAAATCACCAAGTGGGAGTCCTGTGTTCTCTTTGAGAACTGGTTTTTATATTTCTGTCAAGACATCTGAGGTCGTTACTGGGACTGCATCGAACCCATAGATCCCTTTGGGTAGTACTGACATCCTAACAACCTAGTCTCGAGCTGCATGGCCAGGTGCTTCCTCTTCTATCTCACAGGGAGCACCTGTCCGTTTAGATGCGCCCGCTTCAATCTCTCTCTGCTGCGCTTTGTTTTCACCGTCTAAGTCCTTCCCGTTCCTGATGAGATGCTATTATAAATGGCATCATTCTCCCACTTTCCTATTCAGGAAGAAAAGGGAGAGTCGGCCACCCTAAACTCTGCATTGTTGTTAAGAGCTCTTGAATGGGTTCTGATTCAGAGACTCTGGGTCGGGTTTCCAAGGAAGCCTCATCTTTGTCCTGTGGAGCAGCTGGCAGCCTTAAACCATGGACTTTGGGGTTCGCAGTCCAGAGCTTATCAGAGGGAACCAATGCATTGCTCCAACTCTGTATATGAGGATGAAAATCCAACCCCAGAGGTACACTCAGAGCCAGAGTCAAAACCTCAGAAGAAAGCACAAACATACCAACAAAATCAGCCACCTCAGAGAGAACCATCCAGAATAAACACAGAAAAACGTAACAAGATTGCTTTATAGTAGTTCTCAGGGTTAGGTGGTGGTGGTGTGCCATGGAGTCAGTTCTGACTCACAGACACCCTGGAGAGATGGTTTCTGAGGCTGTAAATCTCTGCGGGAACAGAAAGCCTCATCTTTCTCCTGTGGAGTGGCTGGTAGATTTGAACCGCTGGCTTTGCAGTTAGCAGCCCAACATGTAACTCACTACACTACCAGGGCTCCTTATTTATTAACAGCTACGTGCAGATAACACCAGTGCCTTAGGACCGTCTAAAAGGGCACGCGAAACTGCTCCATTGCTCTCCTCAGATTCGTAGAGACTTTCTCTGTTGTCCTCCTCACTTCTTTCTGGGTCCTCACCAAACTTGCCTCTGACATCCATAATTCTACCAACAGTGTCTTCAAGGCAGTCTAGGCTCTTACTATTGTGGTTGTAGTTAACTGCCCTTGAGTTGGTTCCGACTCGTAGTCCAGTGCTGACCCTACAGTGCCACACCAGAATTTCAGGCTTTTATTATTGTTGTTAAGTGCCATCGAGTTGGTTCTGATGCATAGTGACCCTGTATACAGTTTCCAAGGAGCAGTGGGTGGGTCTGAACTGCCAACTTAGTGATTCATAGTCCGGTGCTGACCCTACAGTGCCACACCAGGACTTCAGGCTTTGAGTACTAGACACTTGGAAACTCTTCCCGACTCTATCTATGACCAGCTCCGAAACTAAGTCCACACTTAAGGTAAGTGTTAGGGCAGCAGCTTTCCTTCTTTGTACCAAATTCTGTTTGAGTTTTGTCTACTGCTGTTGGTTTTAACAAGGGACTCCTAGTTCAGGATGCTAGAAGTCTGCTGAATGCAGACACCAGATCTACGGAAAGTTCTTGTCTCTCTAGCTTCTGCTTTCTGGTTCCGTGAGAGTCCTGTCTGCTTTGGTGTATATTTTACGTCATCTGTCTCTTCTCATTTGTTTTACCTCGTATATATCTCAAAGAGTGCCTTAAAATACACCCCACACCAACCCTGTCCCATTAACATAACAAAGAGCCCCCACGCCCCAAAGGGACCACTAGCATCCAAGCTAGGATTTACTGCTCATAGTTGGTACAACATATTACATCCATACAACAGATGGTCATAGGTGTAGTTCATCCTAACTCGGATATGGCAGACACTTCCTGTACACACGATGGAGTATTAGTCAGCCATGAAAAGACATCATGAGACACGCTACAACACAGACGGACTTAGAAAATACTGCACTAAGTAAAACGTCAGACAGAAAAGGACTTATATTTTATGATCCCATCTCTATGAGATATCAAGATAAAAAAAATGCACTGCATAAACAGGTTATGGTTAATAATTATGATCATTTATTAAGCACCAAAAGTATACTGCAGTATTGCTATATAAAAGCATAATTATTGATATAGTATCCCTGCCATTAAGCTTACAATCTAACGTGAAGACTTCAAATGGCTATTTTGGCAAATGGTCAAGGCAAGGTAACATATTTCTGGTGCACTGTTAATAAGGTTTTCAGCAAGATCCAAAGAATGTTTTAAAGGTACAAAGGCATTTCCCACAAATACATTAGGCATGCTAAGAAAACTGAGCACTTAGAAATTAGGTTAAAGCATGAATTATTTCAAACTGCTTTGCAGGACTTCAAATAAAGCGCTGTTTATTGGCATGAGTGTTTCAGCAGCCAGGACAAGTACCACAAAAAGATGAAACAGACCACGCTTGTCTTCATCTTGTTTATTCTGTCTTCTACGTAAGGGCCCTAATGCTGGAATAAAGTACTGTATCTAGATGAACTCCCTTAAAGTATTAGGAACTTAATGACTCCAACTTGTACTTCACATTTTAAGAGCACATTGAGCTAAAGGAGATGCCTGGCTATGTAAAACACGCAAAAGCAAAGCAGGTGAGTTCAGTCCAGGTGTCATCCATGGGATTCAGGATACGCGTCCAGACACAGGCTCTCCTTGGTGTGGGGTGAGTTTAGCATCAAGAACCTGTATTATCCTATCTGGCCTATATTCAGACTGTAAGAGTTAATACTTTCCAGGTTTTCACTGCTGGTCAAACATTGGCTGACAAAGGCACACTGAGGGGATTTTGAGTCTTATGGTCAAATGCAAAGACTGCTTTAAACAACAGAGCACATACAGTCTTAAAATACATATTAGTTTCAATCACTTATGATATGTTTTAGATTCTAAAAGAACACTGAAGAACAATCTGTTTGAAAAAGGAAACAGAATTTACTTTGTAAAGGCCAAGCAAAATGTTTCTTTTTTAATGCATCCATGCAAATATTTCAATGGCAGAGTGGTACCATCCTGAGATTTCTTAAGGCAAAACAATATGCCAGCAGTTTTTGGAAAATTGAGCAATTTCACTTTTACTGGTCCCATCTTGGCAACCTTTTTATATGATAACATAGCAGCAGAAACATTTTTTTTAAATGTTTGTAAAGTTTGCTTTGCATAATAAGCTTATCCAGAAATAACGACCCTGAAATTTCAAGATAAACTTCGCTACAAAGTAAAGCAATTCACTACTCTGACCTAAAATGAACACTTTTTAACATCTCTCTTTCAATTTAAAAGTGTCATTTATGAGGGAAAACCCAAAAATTCATGGAAAAAAGGAATGAAAAGTTAATAGAATTTTTTGAAGCCCCCTCATATTTATACTAAATAAAACACAACGAATTATGAAATCTGAAATGGAAACCTGACACAAATATATGCCAACATTATTGCCTCTAATAAGATGACAAAATCAATTTCAATGGATTTCTTAAAAAAAAAAAAAAACTGAGAAAAAAACCCATAATCAGCACTGTGGTAAATGAACTGTGTTTACAATTTGCAATCGATACATTGATTTCTAGTTGGTATTGTTCCAAACAGACAGAATTCCTGATTAAAATACATATATTTCTAAGGCAATGCAAACTTGATTATGTATAAAGCATAATAGTATGGCTATGACTAGATATAGCCTGATTATAAAGGCAATATGATCCATACATATACATAAACCTTATTTTAAGTGACATATTCCAAGCTATGTAAAATTTCATTTCATGTCCTATTATAAGTCTACATTGTGGACATTAAACTTAAAGGCGTATTTGCTGTAATACATTTAAAAAATACTTCATTTGTCCAATATTGTAAAGTATACTGTATTTTCAGATACCAGGTATAAAATTTTTGCACAAAATTTAAAAAGGCATACTATTAATTAGCTATAATAACTATCAACTATTTATAAAAAAGAAGTTTACAAGAAGAGCAAAATATAAAACTAAGCATAATAATTATTGCATGTAACAAAAAAATGTAACAATATCAAGTAGTTCTGAATACACGTTTCTTGTTTTAGCAATCTGTGTGTCCATTTTAACCGAATAACTTGGTAAACGTGCTAAACTTTCCTAAGACTTGTTTTGCTTGGGATGCTACTTTCCTTTCCCAACAGTAGTTGGAAGTAATTTTCTCTTGAATACAAAGTTTAGAAAAACAACAAACAAACAGTTTTGAAAATCAGAGTCATGTAAAAGTTGCATCATTACTTTCATTTATCAAGTTACATTTAATTACTTTGGACCTTAATTAACATCTAATCACATGATTTTTGCTATAAAGTACAGTGTATAGTATATGTTAGCATGTTGATGAGAATTAACAAAAGAAAAACCTGATTTCAGTTATGTTTAGATATATTATACAAACTTTTTTTTTTTTTTTTTAAGTGAGGAATAAAAGATAAAGAAAATCATTCAGGTAAGTCTCTTTCCATCTCAACTGTTTTTAAATACAACTTTAAATAAGGATGGATTAAGTCAAGTCATGTTGGTCATTTATCTTTGCATAGAAGGAAAACGTAAAAGAAAGGCACAATTACTTCCTTCCTAAGGTCTCAGCTAGCTTCTTAAGTCTTTTCTTCAATTCCAGCGGGAATTTCTCATAGCACTTCTTACACACTGGTTTCATGTCAAACTCCACAAACTTATTCCTAAAGAGAAGAATGAAAAAAATGAGTGGAAATGTATTGAATACAGACACAAAAATAACAGTAAGTAATTTTACTAAATTAAATGAAGATACTATGTAATATAACATCTACAATAAACGACTACCGTTGTAACCTCAATTCTTGTCACTGTGATATGTACAATACATTTACAGTATCATCTGAAAAAATTTAGTCCTTGTAAATTGGTCCTACATACCTGTGTAATATAAAAGGTCTACTTTACTTAATGCTTAGTAGATACAGGAAATGTAAATGAAATTACATTTTAAAGTATGATTAGAACACTTTTAAAGAATTCATTTCTTTAAAGCAAAGGAGCAGCTTTGAGTGTACATTGGTGGGAAAATGATCATGCACACAACTTTATAACCTGCTCATTTTCTGTGAAATCTTGTTTAGCAAACATGTACTGAACAAGTTGAGTGGTGCCAGTATCATCTGTAACAAAGTTAAAAAGTCTGCTGAGAGAATTATGATGTATTTTAAAGTATATTAAATTAAAAGATTATAGGTTTCAAAATAATCTTAATAGAACAATGTTAGCAACAGAGTTAATTCTTAATGACAGATTTTTATATAGGCCTAATGCTGGTTGTAATTCACATGTTGTTAAATTTCAAATGCTTGATTTAACAGCACTATTGAGTTAAACATGGCTCTCAAATCACAGATCAAAAGCTATTAAATCTGTCAAAAACAAAATCACAGCTTTCAGTTACACTGTTCAGCAAGCCTTCTATGGTTTTAATTTTATACTTCAATTTCAGTTCCTCTTAATCAAAGGAAACATAAAAACTGAAACAATAAAAAAAGATGTTAGTGCTCAAAACACAATGAATATGATGTTGGAAAAATGGAGCGATCATGTTAGGAATGCAATCGAATTTCCTAGATTGAAATACTTCCTCTAAAAACTGAGGCCAGAAGAACTGGGTGGTATCACTGAACATTTCCATCAGCTTCCACAGAACAATCTTGATCAAAAGGGGAGATACATAGAACAGAATTCAAAATTTTCATACAATCTATATAAAGTTGCGGGAGCCACGAAGGTTTAATGCCTAAAATAAGTGCCCTGAGATAACCCTTAACCCTTAAACCAAAAATATCCCCTGAAGTCTTAAAACAAGAGGACAGTTTAGCTTAACTAGTTAAAAACTGTCTGCCGTGAGCCGTATGCTCCTTTAAGAACTATCTACATGAGGTCAGACTGACAAGATCAACTTGAGAGATTAGACAGGACCCTAGGAGGGCAGTGAGGTTGTGTAAATGGAGGAGGAGAACAGCTCAGACATATAGGCTGAGAATGGTGTGGGTATGTGCCGTGGAGTTGGTTCCTATACAGGATTTCCGAGGCTGTCAATCTCTACAAGAGCAGAAAGCCTCATTTTTCTCCCACGGAACCGTGGGTAGTTTCGAACTGATGACCTTGAAGCTAGCAGCCCAACTTGTAATCACTACGCTACCAGAGCTCCTTGAATTGGCCATGCAGAAACTGCTTACTCGGTATATGTTTTGCTGTGTATATTCTCAACAACAAAATTAATTGTTTGAAAAAAAAATTAAAAGTAAAATAGGATTTAAAGACATCAAGTTATGCATTCATGAGCTCCACTAGGCACATTTTACTTCGATGTGAAACATGCTGAAAAGGACGTAATTTAATATAGAATGTGGAACATGTGCACTTTAAAACCAATATCCAGAGATACTTGGAATTTATCACTTAAATGATTTTAGGCAAAGTAACCAAAGACTACAATTTCAAAAACTTCAACCATCAATTAAAAATACTAGAAAGCTTTCCCTATCATGTGGTAACAAATTGGAATCCTTCCCCTGAATTAATTTTTTTTAAAAAAGGATTATCTATGTTGAATTGTACTGCAAAAGAACAGGAGAACTCTACAGATTAAGGGGAACAAAGGACGCACGATATGAGTACAGATATTCATTTGGAGGCCTGGTGTGGCGCTGTGGATTAATGCACCAGACTGCAAAGCCTTTTGAACTGTAAGGTCAGCGGTCCAAGCTCACCAATGGCTCCTTGGAAACCCTATACAGGGTCGCTATGGGTCGGAACCGACTCGATGGCACTTAACAACATTATTCATTTAAGCTTTGTAGTTTTAATAATTGTTGCAAAAGGCCAACCACCCCTGCACCTGATTTATACTTGCATATCAAAGAAGCAGCTACAAATACATGCAAAAAGAAAAAAAAAGGAGAGACAGAAACAGAAAGCCTTCCAAAGGACTAACCAAAGAAGAAAGCAGTAAAAACACTGACAGAAGGGACAGAAAAGTTTACAAACAGACTGGCTTTTTCTTTTTCTGCTTGTCCTTGTCCTTTGCTTCTCTCTCCCGTTTGGCAAGTCGCCTCTTAAATTCTTCTGGCATTTTCTCATAACAATGTTTGCAGACTGGTTTTAGATCAATTTCAACAAACTTATCCCTTTGAGTAGGACAAAGAAATAGAGGAAAGAAGAGGGAACAATTAAAGAAAGTGCCTTTATTTTCAGAAGGCCTCAACAGAAAGAAGAAATAAGGAATCACATAATTCGCTTTTTACAAACTCTATGAATATATATATATATATATTTAAATGTTATCCCCAAATTTTCCATATTAGGATTTATACTAGACCAAACTACAGCACTTACTTGAGTGTTAATTTAGTGTTGCAGGTAGAACAGGCGAAACAGTTCACACACCAGGCTTTATTGAGAGCAGAGACCACTAGGGAAAGAGACAAGAGATTTGTCACAGAACACTACACTGGCATATGACAGAAGAGAAACACACTTACAATCTACAGCTGAGCAAAACCTTCATCCACAGCACTTGGAAGAATTTTCAAGATGTTTCTAGAGGAAGGATCAAGTAATCATATAGCTCAATACTATCGATTAATGAATGCTTCCTGACAATTTTATTAATGAAGCCAAAGCTACTTTTTCAGTTATTATACAAGAACAACACTTAATTTATGTGTTACAGGAGAATAAGCTTCTACTTAAGAAGGTTATCATCGCCTTTTTCAACCTTTATGTGTAGTTCAATTCTCCGCCACCCCCTCTGAGTATCCTGTGAGAAATATACAAGAGCGCTTTCAAAAGTTTATGGAAAATGAAATATACTAGAGCGCTTTCAAAAGTTTATGGAAAATGGAAAGACAACATCATGGAATTTTCCCACCAACATTTGAAGCCCCCTCATAAATGATGTGTACCATGTCTTTTCCCCAAAGAGTCTAACATGCATTATACTACTACGATTCGTTTTTCTGGACCAGAAAAATTGTTGTTGTTAGGTGCCATTGAATTGGTACCAACTCATAGCGACCCTCTGCACATCAGAATGAAACATTGCCCGGTCCTGGGCCAACCTCACTACTATTGTCACGCTTGAGCCCATCTTGCTGGTGTCTTCCTCTTCTCTGACCCTCCACTTTACCAAACATAATATTATTCTCCAGCGACTGCTCCCTCCTGACAATATGTCCAAAGTATGAGAGACGAAGTTTGGCCATCCTGGCCTCCAAAGGAGCACTCTGGCTGCACTTCTTCCAACACAAATCTGTTGTTCTATGGGCAGCCCATGGCACTTTCAATATTCTCTTCCAACACCATAACTAAAAAGCATCAATTCTTCTATGATCTTCCTTATTCACTGTCCAGCTTTCACATGCATATGAGGTTATTGAAAATACCGTGGCTTGGTTCAGGCACACCTCAGTCCTCAAACTGACATCTTTGCTCTTCAACACTTTAAAAAGGTCTTGTGCAGCAGATTTGCCTAATGCAATACGTCATTTGATTTCTTAACTGCTGCTTCTGTAAGTGTTGATGGTTGATCCAAGAAGAATGAAGTCCTGACAACTTCCCTCTTGTCTCCAATGATGAGAATGGTGTTTAGGGTTAGTTTTTGGGTTAGGGTTAGGGTTGGGGTAGTTTTTCAGGAACAGTACATTCACCACTTCATTTATGCTCTTACTGCCACTCACCTGACAGGGAAATGTGAACGAGATCATTTTTAAGAGTCCAGACATGAATTTATTTGCATGTAGGAATCTTTCTTCCAAAAGCTGACAATAAGAAATGCCTTCCGTTGACATCTTTCACTTGGCAACTGTTTGTTGCATGTAGGGGGAGCTTTATTTTCAGTGGCACAAAATACTGCCTTTCTGAGCTAGTCCTTTCGCAATGGCACAGAGGCAATGTTTCAGAAAGCATTTCCTGAGTCAGGTGCTATCTACTGAGGACACCACCGCTTGCTGAGAACAGGAATGCCTCAAACGTTGCCAGGAAGTTTCTGGCAGAATTGTGTTAGCGACTGTTTGAAAACACAGCTGCTTCCTCTCGGTTCCAGTCAATCAGCCTAATTATCAAAAGGCAACGGTGACAAGCACGAGAAATGCCTACAAGTCGCTGCCAGCTTCAAGTGTCTGCAGGACGCAAGTGAGTCTTCCAACAGCACAGCAGACTGAGCTGTTCTCCTAAGAAATACTGCCCTGTTACAACTTCCAAGTTACAGAATTTCAGGGACTGGAAGTGGGCTCTCAGGGTCTGCCGGGACACAGTGTGTGGTGTGGTCCCCGCAATTCCTAGTGTAAGACCTCTGAGCCTCGGAAACAGAGCAGGCCCCAGAGCAGGACGCCAATCTGGGACTTTGGTGGTAAGCATCCTAACTGGCATCTTTCCTGCCACAGCCTAGCCTGTTTCATAACCTGTGCTCCTGGTCCCGTGACAATTGTTTCAAAGAAACTCAAAATCCTCAATATGAGCTGACAGTATTATCACCAATAAAGACCAAATCCAGGTCAAGGTCTTACCATCTCACTACTATAGCTTGCTTAGAGTACACCCAATTAGTAATGACTACATTTAAACACACAAAAAAGCAACTATCAACCTTTTTCAATTTTCACGTTACCCAACTGTTTTTGTACCAAAATGTTATATAAAATCAACAGGTACTCACCATCACCTTCAATAACACGGTTACAATGGAAGCAAACATCACCGAATAGCTGGGGGGAAAAATGTTCAATTTAGAACACAGACATTATTTCAGTTCTTTGTCTCAATTAAATAACTGGCTATCTGGACTGCTAACTTCAAGGGCAGCGGTTCAAACTCACCAGCTGCTCTCCCAGAAAACCCTATCCAGGGTCACTAAGAGTCAGAACTGACTTGACAGCACTTAACAACAGCGGGAAGTTAGTAGAATTAGGAAAGTCCTTTCACTAGTTTGTACTTCTTATAGTGAAAATACTTCATTTTCCATTACTTAAAAAAAAAACAATCTATAGGATATTTGAGCACCAAATTTGTATAGCACTAAATCACAAACTGGTGTAAAACTGGTTTTCATATTGGCTAAGAAATAAATCATAAAACGCAGAGGAGGGAATGCAAAAGCTAAATGTCATTTTATATCCTGCAGTGCAGAGACCAGAGGGGCAGACTCATCAGTGAGTCCCAACGTCTGGGGGGGTTTGATGAGCAACAAGATATTAGCTTGGTCTTAAAATGACTGTGCACACATTGCTTATTAGGTGCAAGGGGGAAAGAGCCATTATATGGTGGTGGTCAGGCTACACCCTGACTGGGCGGTGACCAACCAGGGGCAGATGGGCAGTCCAGATACCATGAGGTGAAGATACAACGTCACCTGTGCAATACTGCAGCCTAAACCACACACACCTAGACACAATAGACAACCGCAAAATGAGAAGCATTCTATTTTATAAAAATGGAGAGGGGAAGAATCTGTATCCTTCAAAAATGTCAATGTTGTAAAAATGTTGTAAAAAACAAAGGCTCTGGAAACGTTACAGGTGGCTACAGGAGCCCTCAGGTGTGGCACTGCGGGTTAATGCGTTGGACTGCAAGTTCGGTTTGAACCGCAAGGTCGACAGTTCAAGCTCATCAGCTGCTCCTTGGAAACCCTATACAGGGTCATTATGAATCAGAACCAACTCGAGGGCATTTAACAACAACAACAAAGGAGGCTTGGTGGCACTGTGGGCTGGACATTTGAGCTGTTAACTGCAAGGTCAGCAGTTCAAAACCACCAGATGCTCTGTGGGAGAAAGCCTAGGCTGTCTGCTCCTACAGACTTCCAGCTAGGGCCTCTCTGACTTAATGGTACTGGGCCCAAAAAGTCCTCAGAGGAAAAGGACCACGATGTAATAGGTCACTGACCATCAAATGCTTCAGAGAAGAAGTCCTGTGTAAAAACGTGTGTGTTTACCTGTCTGATTTCTTACGTACAGACAGAGCACACCCAAATGGGAAACAAATGGTGTAAGCGAGTAAAAGGAACGGACAAAAACTTGTTTTGCAATTTGTCTGAAAGTTTGAAGTTATTCCCCCGAAAACGTTAGAACTAAATCCTGATAGACCAATATATATTTCTGAGGGATTTCCTTATAGATAAAATACTGAGAAAGTCAAGCTGCCGCGGTGTCTCCAGCGCTCAGTGCACACGCGCAGTCATTACCTGGTTGTAGTGTGTCTCACAGTACGCCAGACCCTTCCGCTCATAGTGACGGTGTCCAAGGAAAGGTTTCTCACACTTGGCACAGACGAAATGCTGGGGAAAAATGTCCTATCGGTCAGTTTTGAAGTGCCATATTCCCTCGATCTAGTGAAGTAATCAAACTCCAGACTTAAAATATCCTTAGAGCAGACACGGTCAAGTCTGAGGCAGTAGCTTCATTTGGCCTTAAGGTCATCCCAGTAACTTTTACAAACAGTCCTAATTCAGGTATTTCTAAGTCTATGACAGGCTACTTGGAGACGGAGCCCACTCAGACAACAGGTAACAGGACACAGATGGAGGTCTCAGAAGCCTCTCTAATGGAGGGACTGCCGATGGCTACGCACCGTGGCCCTTCACCTCAATAACAACGGGGAACAGACAGGCACAGTGTGCGTCATTACTGGGGGATCCCAAAAGCAGTTCAAGTTTCAGCAAAACTAGCTCCTTTCAAATGTTCACATTTCACCTGTAGAATAATCTTGTTAGCACCAATATACCAGGGAAACGAAAAAGTTCTGGTCACTGGTATGTCAATGTACATTCCAGGGTGGTGCACGTGATGAAGAACAGGACTGCTAGTCTAAAGATTGGCAGTTCAAACCCACCCAGTGGCATCTTAGACCACAGGCTGGAGATCTAGACCCTATGCTGGGTCACCATGAGGTGAAATCGAGTCAGTGGGAGCTAAGAGGAATCCCCACCCCTTCAGAGCTCACCTCCACATGCCACTGCTTGCCCATGGCATTGACCACGCGCCCCTCAATGGGCCGTCGACAAGCACCACAGATGGGGACTCCCATTTTATCATGGCATGGTAAACAGTACAGCTCTCCTTTCAGTTCTCGGGCATCAGCCGTCAGTTCCTTCCTGCACATGAGACAAACAGCCAGCTGAGAAGTACCACCAAGAGAGAGGAAAGGTTGGCGGTTCAAACCCACCAGCCGCTCCTCGGAAATCCCGTACAGTGTCGTTAGGAGTCGGAACCGACTCAACGGCACTTAACAACAACAACAATTTGATTTTCTTACTTTTGAGAAGGTTTTAAAACAAGTTGTTATAATACCTGATATATATCCCATCCCCTAACCCTTTGAGGTAATTAGAGAAAACCTCACAACTTAAACGAGGGGTGTACGCGTGTTCATTATGTTATCATCTTAAATTCTCTACAGATTTAAAGGTTTCCAAATAAGAACTTGGAGAAAACAGAGATGTAGATAAGGTGTCTGTTGGCGCACAGCGGGGCCCAGGGGCTGACGGGCGTTTGTGCAGTGGAACCTACCCGCAGTTGGCGCAGTTGAAGTGATCCGGATGGTAAGGATCATTCTTGAAGATCAGAGGCTGCTCTTCGATGATGGCGTGGCATTTCTGGCAGATGTATTTCCCGAGGCCTCGGGCTTTCTCACGGTTGTGACACGGACGACAGAGATGTCTACGCAGAGCAAGGACGGGTTCAGAAATTTTCAGTCTAAAATGTCAGGCTTGTTCTTTCTAATAACTGATAAGAAGTGCCCTTCCATATCTCTAGACAGAAATGAGTACATTCCTTTCTGAAAAAGTTACCGCTATGTTCACGTTACTACGTTTTCTAAGAAAACATTACCCACCATCTGACTCAGGCTGCAGTAACCATAGTATAACCATCAAGCACCAGAGTTATAATAATGAAAATCAGGCTTTAAATGCTATAAAGTCTGGCACATAAGCAGTACCTAAAGTTATAGGCATTTATCCCATTCCTGATAACCTGACCTTTAAGAAACCACTGTCTCTCATTTGGTGGTCAAGGAATGCACACAAAATCCTAGGCCCTTTCCTAGGACAAGAGGGATTCTGGAAGTTCGTGGGAAAATTACTTTTTAATTCCATTTTGCCCTCAAAAGCATTAACAAAAACCAACATATTACCGTCTCCGAGTTCCAAAACTCTAAATTCCATTTCTTAGAGCGCTGCCCTACACTGCCAGGGGGAAACTAGGCCTGGCCTTGTACAGTCACTTGATGCGCCCACATCGGACAGGAATAAAAACTCCTACCTCCCTGCATTCTTGACGAAGCCGATATCTGCCAAAATCTCCTCACAGATGTCACAGCGGAAGCACTCCGGATGCCAGCTGTTATTCATGGCTTTAATGACTCTGCCAATGATGAATTCACCTGTGGAAAGACAGCATCCACAAGGTGTCCAGTATGGAGGAGAAACATCAGGAAAACAGAAGTATACTTAGCCTGTTCTCTACAACTCCAGTATCTATCAGAGTAAAAATAATGTTTGGGAAGAAGAGAAAAGTTTACATTTAACCTAAATCTTTGTGTTTTTTTTTTTTTTTTTGGGGGGGGGGGTTGTTTTCTTTCCCTATAGCCGTAGTTTTTAGTAGTCATAAAATTAAAATGTCTAAATCTGGCTTTCCTTTTTAAACGTGCGCACTAGTCATCGCCAACACAGACAACTGAACTCCACAGCGCATTTTGTTATAACACAGACTTCATTTCTTCTTTCATGAAACCTTTAGAATGTTGCATCTAGTGAGCTGTTAGCAACCAGCGCAGGGATAAAGGCCAACCACACGAGCACTTCCATCCACAGCGCTGAGACCCTCAGGCACCCAGAACACCTCAATTACTGTCTGCCCACTGCAAACCCCAAAGCAAGTAGGTCAAGGTTCCATGAACAGGGGGAAAGAGCAGCCCAAAAGATCACGTAATAGAGGTCCTATTTACTTCCTACAATGGCCTGTGTCACAATGGGCTATGACTTGGGCTGCTAACCTCAACGTCGGCTGTTTGAATCCACCAGCTGTTCCTCAGGAGAAAGATGAGGTTTTCTGCTCTAGCACAGACTTACGGCCGTGGAAACCCTACACAGGGTCGCTTTGTCATAACCGACTCCATGGCAACCCCGTACAGGGTTTCCGCGAAGTGGTTGGTGGGTTTGAACCACCAACCTTGTGGTGAGCAGTTTGGGGTCTACCCCACAGCACCACACCAGGACTCCCCTGTTGTTGTGTTAAGTGCTCGAGTTGGTTTCAATTCACAGTGACCTCTTAAGGCTTTATATCTGCAGAAGCAGAAGGATTCGTCCTTCTCCTGAGGACTCCCCTAGATGTCGTAAAAAAAAAAAAATTTATTCCCAGGTTTTGATACCAAATTTTTGTATATTGATAACAGGAAAGGGAACTGATACCATACCTAAAAAACAAAAAAACCCACCCAAAACCACGTCCACCACTGCTGAGTGGACTGGAGCTGAAAGTGATACCACAGGACGGAGGGGATGGCTCAACATAGACTCCGAGGCTATGAATCTTTAGGGGAACACACATCCCCGTCTTTCCTCCGGGCCATGCCTGGTGGGTTTTAACTGTCAACCTCGGGGTTACACTTAACCCACTGTTGTCATCCTACACACTGTTGCCAGGGGCCACCGAGGTCGGATGGACTCACAGTGACCCCACACACAACAGGACACAACACTGCCCTGTCCTGCACCAACCTCACAGCTACGTTAGAGCCCGTCGCTGCTGCCACTATGTCAGTTCATCTTGTCGGGGGTCTTCCTCTAATTGTCCGACCCTCTACTTTATCAAACATGATATCCTGCTCCAGCAACTGGTCCCTCCTGATAATATGTCCGAAGTACGAGAGATGAAGTCTGGTCATTCAGACTTCCAAGGATCATTCTGATTGTACTTATTTCAACGCAGAGCTGTTTGTTCTTGTGGCACTCCACTGTGCTTTCAATATTCTCCTCCAACACCATTAACTCAAATGCATCAATTCTTCTACAGTCTTCCTTATTCACTGTTCAACTCTCACATGAATATGAGGCTACTGAAAACACCATGGCTTGGGTCAGGTGCACCTCAGTCCTCAAGCTGACATCTTTGCTCTTCAACACTTTAGAGAGGTCTGTGCAGCAGATTTGCCTAATGCAATGCGTTATTTGATTTCTTCACTGCTGCTTCCATGAGTGTTGATTGTGAATCATGCAAAATGAAATCTTTGACAACTTAAATCTTTTCTCCATTTATCGTGATGTTATTTATTGGTCCAGGGGTGAGGATTTTTGTTTTCTTTACGTTGAAGTGTAACCCATAACGAAGCATTCATTAGTAAATATTTTTAAGTCCTCTTCACTTGCAGCAAGCAAGCTTATATCACCTGCATATCGCAGGTTTTTAATGAGTCTTCCTCCAATCCTGATGCCATGTTTTTCTTCATAGAACCCAGCTTCTCAGATTATTTGCTCAGCAAACATATTGATAAGCATGGTGATAGAATACAACCCTGTCGCACACCGTTCCTAATTTTAAACTACTTTGTGTGCTCCTTGGAGGCCAGGATGGCTAAACTTTATCTCTCATACTTTGGACATATTGTCAGGAGGAACAGTCGCTGGAGAAGGATGCCATGCTGGGTAAGATGGAGGGTCAGTGAAAAAGAGGAAGACCCCCAACGAGATGGATCAGCCAGGGGGCATCTTTGATGGTGTCAAGTGTGGCAGTGGTAGTGAGGTTGGCCCAGGATCAGACATTGTTTCGTTCTGCTGTGCATGGGGTCGCTATGAGTCGGTTCCGACTCGATGGCACCTGACAACAACAAGTGTACCCTTATTCTGTTCGAACAACTGCCTCTTGGTCTATGTTCAGGTTCCTCATAAGCACAATTAAGTGTTCCAAAATACTCATACTTTGCAATGTTTTCCATGGCTTGTCATGATCCACACAATCAAATGCAACATCATTCCTCCTTCACTTGTCATTCCTGGCCTAGTAAACCAGGTGACTGTCAGATTCAAAATGGCCATTTCCAGGATATTGATATTTACGTGTTCCAATTCATTGTTTTTAAATGTTTTATTGTGTATTATGTGATCGTTTACATGACAGAACATTAGTTTTACATTCATTCTACCGTATCGTTTCATTGCCATGGTTACAATCTCCTCCATGCGTCATCAACCAACCAAAAGGTATAACCTGAAAGCCTGCCCCCCCACCCCCCGTTCATCAGCACACAGCCCTTCTCCCTCTCTGGATCTAAAGTCCCCAGCTGCTCCATTGCTCCATGTCATTGTCTCTGCCTCCATCTCAGGTATCACTGCTTCTCTGGGTAGGGTCCCAATCTCTCTTCTTCTCCCTTGATGGTCCCAAGGACCTCCGCTCCTAGACTGGAAAGTTAATCACTCCCCTCCTTGCTATAAAACAACTACCTTTACATTTCCAACCCTACAAGCAGTCCTGATAACAATTATTCACTACTGCATCACAAGAGACCCGTCTGTATTTCATTTCATCAGCCCCTCCTAAACAGATTGGATACTACTCA